TTGTGTTTGCCAAAAAAGAACAACAACACAGACTCAGCTAAAAACAGATTTAGTGATAAGATTTGACWTTTTTTCCTGTGCATGTTTACTTCTGATAGACATTTATATTTTTAAATTTCAGAGTTGTAAAATAGGCGGTGTTATATTGATAATTAGCACAATCTAATTTAGTATTTTCACAAAGTTTGAACATGTATCTTGAAAACTGAAATTGCAATAGTATACCATATTTATTTATATAAGCTTGAGTACAATGCAATCTTCATTTTATTAAGCTCAAAAAGCATGAAAAATCAAACTTTCATGCATAATGTTACCATTAATTTCAAAGTTAAAACTTTATTCATTTCTTTAAAAATAACAAGATAAATTTAGAAACAATAAAAATACAAATCACATTTAAAACGAACGAAGAAAATGAATTTGAGACCGACTTCAGGATGTTTCAGCCTTTGCGGTATACCCTTTCCGGTGGGGAAACATTATTTGTGGACACACACTTGTGGACATATTTACTGAGGAGCAGCAGCGTGTTCTTCCTCTAACAAAACAATCTTCTCCCGGGGCAGAAACCAGTTGTTAAATTGGTAACGCTTTCTTTTACGGTACCCTTATTACCATGTAATTACAAGGTAATTAAAAATGTAATTAAATGTAATTACTATCTTATTACTATGTAATTACGTGGTAATTAGGGTACAAAAGAAAAAAATTACTGTTAGTAAAACTACCTTTATTTTATTTGGGTAACTACAATCAAATTACTATTCATTAGTAACTCAACACTATATTTATAACCAAAAGAATGCAACTACATTTGGGGTTAGTGGTTAATTAGAATAAAATGGAACTTTAAAACTGCCTAAATTACCTACTACTAATTTAGGTGTTACATGGTGAATTGTAATAAATTACCAGGTAAGTGCTACATTACTGCAGACAATTAATTACGTAGTAAAATTGTACCATATTTACCACATAATTACATGGTAATAAGGTAGTAATTTCCATTTAATTACATTTTATTACCTTGTAATTACATGGTAATAAGGGTAATGTAAAAGAAAGTGCTACCGTTAAATTAGCAAGATAAATTGATCAGAWTGCAAATGGATATCTCTGTGGTTCACTAGAAAAGGAAAAAAAGTTGTTCCTCCTCTGACTCCAGTGAGAAAACAACTGTTGTTGCTTAAATGTGTCACTATACAGGAAGGCGGAAGAAGCAACAAACTATTTCAGTTATAAATGAGAAGATATTGAAACACATTGTGGTAGTACATTAGAAGAACATAGGTCTAAATTTACTTCCATTTATAATAAGACACGCCCACTTTATGGATGATTTTTGGGGTTACATTTCTTGCATTATAATCACATAAACATGGTAATTTAAGTATCTCAGGCCACAAATTCACACACTGGAAATCCTGGTTATGTGTTATTCAAATAAAAATTCACTTTGATTAGATTAATTGATTATTTACCTTGACACCTAAATAAAAATATAATTAGTCAGACCAAAATTAAAAATAGCAGAATGACTCACTACATTCTTCAGATTATTTGAACTGTATAATAAATGTCAGAAAAATAGGATGTTCTACGTTTTACATTTGGGTTGACGTGTTTGTTCTATTCGACCATCTTGACTACAGTTCTACCAGTAGAATAGAAATATAATCCTTAAGCAGGAAGACCAGTGTTAAAACACAGGCGCTGTTTCCGTGCACACCTACTCGTCTCAAGTGTCCTTGAGCAAGACGCTGTGTCCCTGCACGCCCACGGGGTGCTGCTCTGCAGCTGACCCTGACCTCCCTCAGTACGGACTGGTAATTGAGGTTTACCAGAAGAATTCAATACGGAATTTTTCCAATCTAGTTATTCTCCAGATCAAAGGTTTGAGGTTAGCTTAACTGGGAGGATTAGCATGTAAAGCTTTGAGCAAAGATGTTGAATTCATAGCTTGTAGGAAACATATTGAGCTCCTCCTACTCCCAACAGCATTATGCTGAGGCTGAAGAGCAGAAATGTCARTATGCTGCAAATCAATAAACTCTCACTGAACTCGAAAAGTAAGTGCCTCATTGGCAACAACAAGGCCAGATTTCCCTCGTCTCGTACTCTCTTTGCATCTTTTTTCCCAGCACATTACCACTTTGTTGTCTCCCTCAGTTTTCCTTTTGTCCTTTTTCCTGTCTGTTTCTATTCTATTCCATTTTTCTTGCTCTGCTCATCGTCTCTCTCTTACTGTGTTTGTGTAGTGAAAAAAAAAAA